TTATAATAAAAAATTTTGTAGACATTTATCAGTGTTTCAAATCGTTGCGAATATATGTCAATTCGATTTTAAGAACAGTCATTAAATCCGGTTGGTTGTAATATTAGGTATCGTTATAAATGATTTCTACTTTAATTGGTTTTTTTTTTGATATAGTTCTATCTGCATACTTTTTCTTTGTGCTCAAAACTCCAGCTTATGGAGCTTTGTCGCTGTCATGGTCTCATAACCATATCATAGTTACAAAGCCATGCTCTCAGTATATTGTTCAATGACAATACCTGGAGAATAGTGGTGGTTGGTAAACAGCTCAAATCGCATGGTTGCCAGGAATGGTTTTTGGATCTACGTACAAAATATCCAGTTAACTGTCAACAAATATTTGACAAATAATACTCAATTCTTTTTAATCTACTACCTTTTTCTGTTAATATTGTAAAAGCCTAAAAATACAAATTTTATTCACAATCAAGTAAAAAATAAAATATTTTGACCTATAATTGCAAAGAATTATTAGTCTTTTCAGAAAATTCAACTTTAAATTTTATTACGTGTTTTGCATAACAAAATATCTAGTTCTTCCAGAGTTGCCATCAAAGGTACTGTTTTTATGTTGTTCTTTTGCGCTATGCTTACAAAAGAAAAGGCCTATTGTAGTTCTTTATCGTACAGAACTACAAGTATACCACAAAACGGGTATATATACACCAGCTCCTTTTTTCTTTCTGGGTAAGATGTATTTAATAATTATTGTTTAATTAATATAACGTACGTTTAGTATCGTTTTGCAATTTTTAGTTTGTTGTTCTTTTGCGATATGCTTACAAAAGAAAAGGGCTATTGCAGAACTACAAGTATACCACAAAACAAATATATGTATACTCCTTTTTTTATATATAGCTCCTTTTTTCTTTCTGGGTAAAATGTATTTAATTATTATTATTTAATTAATAAAACTTACTTTAAGTATCGTTTTGCACTTTTTGGTTTGTTAACTGTTTGTAATACCATTGTTTTTATCTTACTTCAACAAAACAAAAGAGATCATGGTCTTACAAAACTACAATTATGTCTCAAAATGGGTGCTTATATTTCTTGTCTTTAAGTAATAATTAATAAAACATACTTCGGGTAGCGGTTTGGTAATTTTTAGTTAACTAACTATTTTCAATATTCTACTGCCTTTATGAAACTGCACCTAGCGCAGTTACTTTGATTGACAAAGTAATTCAATCGCATTTATTGAATAAACTAAAACTGAAATAACAGAAATTCGTTTGACCTGCGCTAAAGTTTCCATGGACAAACTCTCAGCTAAATAATCATGAAAATTTCATTTAATTCAAAATAATTTTATGTTACAAAACAAAAAATGATTGTTTAGTTTTAATTATAAATTCATTCAACTTTTAACAAATTTTGTTCGAAAATAAAGTTAAAAATTTCTACTTCACTCTCTTACTTAACTTTACATTGGCAATAATTTAATACAGCGCCATGGACCAGTGTGCTGTATTGCAATAAATGCAACATTTATGTAAAAAATTAGCCAATTTATCAAGATTAACTTCAAAACTCTTCTAAAACTTTACAAAATGTGCTTAATTGGAATATTAAACACTTTATACACATGCAGGACGGCTATAACCGGAAACTCAACTGATAACGTACTTTAAAATAGTTTCGAACTTTTTGAAATTGTTGCAAAATTTTAAAGCAGCAAACAATTAAAATGCAGTCAGGCAGCACGTTGGGTGAATCATTTTAATGAAACTGCTCTCCAACGCACCCCAACCCCTTCCGTTAGGCACCACCATTAACTGTAACAGTTTAACAACAACATGACTATACCAGCAAACTTCACAACTACAACTACAACAAAAACGACAACAACATCAATGGCAATGGCAGCATATAAAAAACAAAAAAAAAAACAATTAAAAAATGAAAGAATACTAATGCAAAATGTATCTAAACTTGTGCTAACCTAAAAGTATGCAGCAACTTTTTGTTTTGCAAAAAGGCGAAAAGTTGGTCAGCAAAATTGTTTCAGGTTTAAAATGTTTATTCATTTCTGTTTCTGCTCTCATTTTAGTTAAAAGAACGCACAAAAGGCGTGCTAAGTACTAGTAACTAAGAAATTTTGCTTTATTCTAAAAAAAAAAAGCATTCTAACAAATAAAAGAAGACCAAGGAAAGTCTTCAACAAGAGCGTGCTGAAATCTTTTACAATTGCAAGGACTAAACTGGAATACAAAATAAATTCATATACGTGCATGTATTGTGTTGTTTTACTCAAATGATTGTATTGACTGTGTATGTATATGTGTTACGGACTTTAAGTATACAAGTTTTGAAACAATAGGAGAAATTTACTTAACAAAAGTACATGAAGCGAGCTCCTAGCAAATTGAAAATGAAAACAAAATAAAGTCAAGAACATGAAAGAAATCAAATAATAAAAAAATAGGCTCAATTGCCATTTTTTGTTGTATATGTCATTGACGCCATTTTACATTTCCACAATTTCAATAATCCTCAGTCCTTTGTCTTAGCTTACTTTGTACTCACTTTTTATTTTTCACTTAGTTTCTTTAAAAGGCAAATGAACTCATTGGAAACAATAACCACTGCGGGAGTTATTGAATTTGAATACTAAAATATTTAAAATGAAATGTCCTTTTTTTGGGTTCATAAAGTTGCGAGGATTTTTTTCATAATTTTGTGGTTATTCAACCACAAAAAAAAAAATCAATGCTGGTTACAATTTTTCTTTTTTGGTTTCCATTTTTATTTATTTTAACGAAACATATTTTTGTTTTAAAATACTTATTAGATTCATTAAAAGATTTAAAATGAAATGGATGTATACTTCAAAGCAAGCAAAATAAATTTGGGTCTATGGGAACTCTGTTAAATTTGTATATACATACTTTATATGTTTTATTTGCAAAGTAAAACATATAATAAATATCAGTAAGTGTTAATGAAATATTTGTTCGCATTTGTCAGTAAAAAGCTGTAATTTATTTTATATCTAATTATTTTGTAATATTTTAGATCAAATGAAGTAAATTTGAGCCTATGGATCTCTGTACAATTAACAGTCACTTAAAATGTAAATATATATATAAATAAAATAGAAAAAATAAAGTACAATATATATATAAATAAATATGTAATAAATATCATTAAGTGTTAATGTAATACTTTTTCACATTTCTGGGTCAAAACTGTAGTGTAATTATTTATTAATATTTTTTAATACAAACTTAAAGTAGAAGTTATTACATTATTACATAGAAATCATTACATAAAATGATTTCAATGCACATTATGATTTTATCCTTGCAATTTTTTTTCAGTGATATGTACTCAAAATATGCATCAGAAATAGTTTAATGATGTATACAATTCACTTTAAATAATATCAATGACCTAATTAATTAATATACACTTAAGTCTTTCATATATGAGTTTTATTTCTACCAATTTTTTTATTTTTATGGAACACAAATAATATTAAATTTACAAAAAAAAAATATATTTAAATTTCTATATTATTTTTAAAATATTTTTTTTATTTCTATGAAAGAAAATTAATATTAAATTCCTTGAAAAACTATATAAATTACTAAATATATTTTCATGGGACATAATTAACATCAAATTCTATAAAAAACTACTAAAATATCTACATTATCTCTAAAACCAATTATGGTTCTTTCAAAGATATTTAGTAGTCCTTATTCAATAATTTTAAAAGTAAATCAATTATTTTTAAATTTATTAAAATTGCAGTTTCGTATTTCGTATTAGATGTAGTAGAATGTAGTAGATAAAGTCCATGATCTATGTTACTCTCAGAATATTGGCGATTACAGGTCTTATGTTGTAAAAACTAAAGGCAATATGTTTATTATATTTTAGTTTAGTACTTTTTTCAAAAAATTTGTCAGCAAACAGAATATCGTTTTCGCTTCAAGTGAAGTCAGCCAATGTCAATATAATGACTTATAAGCAGTACTTGCAAATATTTCAGCGTGATCCAAAACAATTTGTCCATTGTAGTAATTAAAACTCTATTTTTAAAGGAATAACTATTAAAAGTTTTGTTTAAACGTATAAATTAATAATAAAATCAAGTCAGCCACTTTCTAATCAAAAAGTTTATGCGGCTTCAAAGGAGTTATCCTTCTACCAGATCACTTTACGATGATTTCAAAAACGCAATATCATCAGCTGGATAATATAAACAGAAACAGTCAGAATTGATCAATAAAATATTTGAAATATTCCACTAAAATGATGCAAGGCTCTATAAAAGTTTAGTATGTTAGATGGCATATACTGCTACATCCACCTTCTCTTCCAACTCTGGCACCTACTGATTATTATTAATTCCAATCTTTTTTAGATGATAAAAGTTTTGTTTCAAAAGAAGAAACCAAAACTCAACTGAAGCAGTTTTTCCCAGCAGAGAACAAAAATCTTATGATCGTATCATCATGCTACTACCAGAAAAAAGTTCGGATAATATAACATATAATTCATGAAAAATGCGAAGAATCTACGAACAATCTTTTACTAAAAAAATATGTTATTGTAACTAAACATTACACACCATATATAAGAGAAAGGCTTTAAAGAATATATAGTATGCAATTGAAAAATTAAATTATATACAATATAATAATAAATAAAACGAAAAACTTCTGCATAAACAATAAATTGTTTATTTATGAAAAAAAAAGTGATATCTTCACCGGATTGCGAAATAAAAATTTTTGTTCCAACAGATAAAAATGTTTGTTATAAAAGTGAATTGGAATGCTGTCGTTACTTATTTTATCCTTCTGGCTTCACCGGATTTTTTTATATCGAACACAGCTGC